CCGCAAACGCCCCCGTCTGCCCACCGGGGGTCCCGCCGCGGAGCAATCAGACCCCGGGTGGTGGGGACAGAGGAGGCGGAGGAAAGCGGCGGAAGAGGCGGAGAGCAATCAGCGGGCGCCCGGATGGAAGGGAGGGGAGCGGGGCGCCGAGCAGCGTGGGGTGGCGGGGTGCCGGGGCGAGCTCCGCCCCGCAAGCCTGCCCTGCAAGGTCGCCCCTCCTGGGAGGCGAGGGGGGCTGAGTGGCGAGAGCCGCCCATTGCACGCTTTCCGGGTCGATAGTGGCACCTCCTTATTCCCAACCAGCCGTATGTAGGATTGCCGTCTTCCTATAGAGTACGTCTTAAAGTTGCCAAGGTGGAGAAACACTGCTGTCGAGTTAAAATCAGGCCCAGGAACGATTGCAGGAGGATGGTCGTGTGAATGTGTTGCAGTAACAATAACAAGAGGCCGTGACTTCCCGTGACGCGAGCAACGTGATTTATTTAAACAGCGCCTGTGGCTTTCTAAGCAGGACTTTTCGTCGTAGCTCGGGGCCTCGGTTTTTACTCACCAGAGGTTCTCCTGATTCCCCGATGGCTGCACCTGCCATCGGACCCTGATGGGATTCCCTGGCCCAGAGGGGAAGGTTAGGGAAGTCGGCTTTATGCTAAGATATGTTTGTTGCAGGGATACAGTAGGGATTTATTTCAACAACAACTTGGCAAGGCAGTTCATCTGGAGATGCTGCTTGTAGCTTATCGCACTTTCCTGAAACCCAGTGGTGAAAGTGGATCCCAGGGAATCTGCTTTTGTAAATACCAGGTTTTCATGGTTTCTTTCAAACCAGGATGGTGGGTATGCTAGTTAGAGCTGTAAGAGTCCCAGATCCCAGTTGCTGGAGCAGTGTTTCTCAACCTTGGTGGCTTTAAGACGTGTGGACTTCAACTCCCAAAATCCCCCAGCCCAGCAGTGCTGGGCTAGGGGATTCTGGGAGTCGAAGTCCGCACATCTTAAGGTCGCCAAGATTGAGAAACACTGTGCTGCAGTATTCGGGGTGAGGGGTAAATGTTTTAACTAAAGTGCCCAAAGTTCCACTGAAGTTCTCCATTAAGGCCCTTTCTCTGGTGATGGAAGGGAGTGGCATGAAGTGTCCTCACTTCTCCATCACTTCTGGCAGGAGGTAGTTGCTGAACCAAAATGGCAGAGATAACAAACCCAGATGGGAACAAAGAAAAAGAAGAAAAGGGGGCTTCAGTCACACTCACCAAAGGCCTTGGTGAAGAGCCAGGCCTTCCGGGCCCTTTGAAACACCAATAGGGTAGGGGCTGTTCAAATCTTGGGGCAACCTCATTCCAGAAGGTAGACACTGCCTCAGAGAAGGTGGGGTCTTAATAGATGGCATTGTTTAATCAAAGGAATCCAGATCACACCAACCCTGCAAGATGGAACTGGCCAGGCAGATAGTATAGGAGGCAGGCAGTCCTTCAAGTAACCAGGCCCTATGCCATGTAGGTAGCAACCTGCATCTTGAGTCGTACTTGGAGCAAACTGGCAACCAGTGCAACTCACGAAGCAGAGGTATGACATGGGCACACCAAGACATGCCCATCACCACCCGTGTCACTGCATTCTGGACCAATTGGAGCTTCTGGATGGACTTCAAAATCAACCTTACAACTGTATAGTAAAAAGGGCATTTGAAGTTGTCTTAAAATGCACACTGGATTATTTTATGAATTCTTTTCTTGTAGGACACTCACATTTTGGGAGGTACAGATTTGTTGGAACTACTGAAAAAAACATGGTTTCTACTCCAGTAGATCCTCAGGCTTCTTCAACAGAAAATAAGAGCCAGGTTAGTCCTTTCTTTTCTGCAGAGAAATGTTTGCACTGGGTCAAAGGCTGATCAGATGGACCAACTCTATTGGTAGGTTGTGTCATGCGATTGTAATTCAGTATTCTAGCAGCAGTGTTACAGTAATATGTATTACATTAAATCTAAACTAAACTATTTTCTCCCCTAACTTTAATTTTTTTAATTGACTTGTTTCAGAAAGTTATATAAGATTTTGATGAGCTTCAACCAAAGAGATGATTAACTAAATCATAGACCATAACTTTTTACACTTTCAAGAATTTTCTGTTTTGGCACAGAAAAAAAATCCCGATTTTTTTTTTCCTTTGTAGTTCAACATACTGTTCTCATACAATGATTTATTTAGGTTTTTATTTTCAGAACTTACTCAATTATCCAACATATCTTAATACTGAAGACATTGAAAATATCAATCAACAATGTAAAGAAGAAAGTTTCTGGTACAGAGGTATACTTGTTTGTTCTTGATACTATAAGAAATATAACTGTATTTTTGTCTGCATTTCTTTGTTCTACTATTGTCAAGTTCACTTGAGGATTACTAATATTTGGAAAAGACAACACGTTCCGTCCCAAGGACCATATTCATCGCTTAGTGGGGGCTGTAGATGTAAATGTATTTTATTTATTCCTTCCATATATATCCTGCTACAGTCCAGTAAGACTCTCAGCAATTCACAAGCAATAAATAGCACATAAAATATCCACAGCGCTTTTTAAAAATAGAAACAGCCAAAATAAATCACTGAAAATAATTTTAAAAACCCAATCTTGATGAATAATAACTTCAGTTCATTATACTCAATCATGATAATTCCATATATGTATGCATGCAGTCATTCTTCCTCTCCACGTGCATGCTCATGGATAAACATCTGTCTCCCGGCATTATCGTTCCTGCCCCCGGCCGTCCCTTAATAATCTGGGTATCCTAGGTTTCACAAGATTTAAATCCCAAACTGAGATTACATTCCAATAACAACCATTTTCAGAGACTGCATTTGGACATTTATTGTCTTTATCATTGTAAGGAATTATGTTAGATACAACCAACCTGCCCTCCCCACCATCCCCATTTCATCCCAATTTAAATCCTACATCAGTCTGGCTGCTCTGTATGTCTAGTGAAGGGAGCTGCAGCCCACGAAAGCTGATGCCTTTTAATTAAATCTGTTAGTTGGAAAAGGTGCTACCAGACCCCTCCTGTTTTTTCACTCCTTCAGTAGGATTGCAATATCAGAAACTTTTGCTTCCATTTTTAATTAACCAGTTTATCCTTACTTTAAAAGGTGCTTTATTCAAACAAACCACATTTCATTGACTAAAGTTTGAAGCTGATTTGTTTCAGAGGGTCATAGCTAAGACTAGTCTAATGTTTCAAATCTCTTTGTAGCCATATTTGAAGAAGGTAAAGAAGAAAAAGATGACTCTGGGTCTTATCTAGTTCATTTTCATAAAGAGAAGCCATGATGATTATGCCCAAATGTATTCAGTGGTAAATTTGGATGTTTTTTTCCCCTCATTTTACTAACTAGAGGGAGATATAAGGCATTTGCTTACTGAATCTTCTCTTCATGGTGCAGACAATCAGATGAAAACTTCTAATATTAGTTTCCTGAACTAGGAAACTATGATTAGCAGCTTCAGAACAAGCCAGGATGTTACAAACTTCAATCTGCTGCTTCATTGGGAGTGGAGGCTCATTGGAATGTACACCAAGGCTGAAATTGTTTGTTGCAATGTTTGTTTACAGCGCTTCCTCTGTCTCTTGGAAGTATGCTTATTGCTCAAGGACTAGTTACTAAAGGTAAGCAGATTTTTTAATTAAAAATGTGCAGAGAATTTTCAGAAACTATCAGTTACTGACCATTTCCATGTAATAAATATTGGGGGGCGGGGAACGAATCTGCATGACAGTGAAACTACAAAAAGCTGGAAATCTAAAGATTTCATGTGCAGAATATGTGACATCTCTGCACATTTTACCCACAATTGAGAGTACCTCTGTCTTTCAGAGGTACTTTTTCATATCCATCTTGAAACAATGCCTTCCACAGTGAATGCTTTTGTATTGCTTAAGATTTTTAGCTGCCTGTAATGGTGCCTTCAACAGTTAGAGCGAGCAGAAGAGGTTTTTCTTAAATTCAGAAATAAAATATATACCCACCATTTTTTTTTCATTTTCATGTTTACTCTGAAAGAAAGCATGTTGGAAAGTAAGAATTCATATAAAAATTTAAGTACCTTTCCTTCAAAATTTGCCTACAGGAATCGTGACTTCAGTTTGAAATGTTCCCGTTTATCTTTTTCATCAAAAAATATTATATTGGTAATGAGCAATCTGTCCCTTTGTCTTTTTTCTTACAAGTGCACATTACAGTTGGACTTCCAGTTTAACAAATGTGCTTAAGGTGGTAATGTTCATCATGCCTTGAGTTTTGACTGATTGTGACAACCTTTGCAGCTAGAGGAGGTGAGGTCAGCTTTTCTGTAATGTATTAACCAAGCAAAGCTGGTTTTGGTTTAGTGCATTGTATGCATCCCACAATTTTGATTTTTAAACTGGCTTATATCCAAGTGTGATATGTGAACCCATTCAGTTATATCTTAATCAACAAAACCCAATGATATAAACATAGTTGATCCATGAATCAGATCAAGATTTCTCTCTAATGAAATGCACAAACCTGGTGCTTCGTTTTCTGCTGGCCTAGATTTTTTTTCTAAAAATGATTTCTTTTTCTAGGTGTTATCAAGACTGGTTCCTTGAATACAGTAGTGTGTAAGTTTTGAAAGATTGAAATTACAGAAGGAAAACTCTAATTAATATATAATTAGTATAAGTTAATGTCCCTGAAACCTTCTGTACTTATTTTATTTTTATATTATTTATCAAAATTGTATGTCTGCCCATCTTACAAAAAAGGGACTACCTGCACTCAAATACAGAGCATTGGGAAATCCACAAATCAGCCCTTCAAGGTAGGCCCGGTGAGGAAGCAGACAGCCCAAAGATTCCAGGAATGCCATCTTATTGTTGTAAGAGAATTTTGAAAGCCTGAGCACGTTTTCCCTCTGCCCCCTCTTACACCAAACAGACTCAAGGCAGGATTATTTGGATCTTCTTTCTCACACCTTTTCCTTTCCTAGCACTGAGTTGTCTTTTATTTTGCTTTAACTATTCCTGTTCTTCAAAGTTAGCTACACATTCCTTTACCTCAAGAGAACTTAAAGCATTTAAATTTTAGTAGATTGCATAGTTGCACTGAGAGTTTTGAAATAATTGTTATTCTTATGAATTAAGGACCCACAGTCCATGCTTCTTGCATGATTTATTTTATTTAAAATATTTATAGCTTGCCCACTGTGGGGCCTGTTGCTTTATGCAATGAGGTTTTAATTGTGACAAGTATCCAACTTTAACATTAAAAGACAAATAGCCGATGGTATTTCTAACTCCCACTCTCAAAACGACAATCAATAAAACATTGTTAGAGCAGATTTCCCATGTTACAGATCAATGCAGGGGGAAAAAAATCTGAGGAACATTTGTCAAAAGTTACTGATGCTGTTGCTCTTCCTTTGTAGTTGTTGGTGCTTTGGCGTTTTTTGCTGGGAAAATGTCGTATATTAAAAAATGCACCCAGAATTTTAGAAGTGTTCTTCTGCCACAGGGACCAGAACAGAACAGGTTTGTTTGGAATCCATACTTAAGATGATAATTTGGTTTCTTAGAGCAGTGTTTCTCAACCTTAGAAACTTTAAGATGTGTGGACTTCAACTCCCAGAATTCCCCAGCCGGCATATAAATGTAATAAATAAATAAATAAAGTTGAGAAACACTGGCTTACAGTGATAAGGTGGTTCAGATATTTCTATGTGGATTATGTATGCCTGCCTTTTGGTCTTTCAGTATAATTGGAGGACCATGGTTGGTGTTACCATTCTGACTCCTGTGTTCAATAGTCTTGATCATCTGCCCTGCCCTCTCTTCTTCCTTTTCCTGTTTTAATGACAAATCATATGGGACTTTGAATTCAGCAATCTTGTATTTTATGATTTTGGCCATTGTGTGTGAAAGGAGGAAACAGTGGATGATTCCAAACTTTGGGTTTGACTCTTGTATTGTTAAAGTGTGATTTAGCATTACATCTGAATATTACCATGGTTTTCAAAGAACTTTTCAAGTGTTACTCTCTGTAGGTGAAAACAGAACTGATGTGGAAAAATTAAGATGAATCCCTGTTGATGTATTTATTATACATGAATCATGTATATGAATCATGAATCAGACTCAGTTCCTCTCAAGTTATGTTCCTGGTTTGAATACTTTTTTTCAGGATTGAAAGAGCAATGATTGGTCCAAGAACTGGATCCTAGTATCACTGAATGGTTCTACGTACAAAAAGAGCACTGTCAGGAAATCCTAAGAAAAGTACGATAAGGCAATTTTCATAGATTTTCTTCTGTTCTCATCCATGCTCAGTAAAACTTCTGAAGACACAATTTGGGACAACAGGGAAACTGTTGATGGCAGAAAGAATCTGTGAAAACCACTATAATAATAGGAAGAAGAAGAAGAAGAAGAAGAAGAAGAAGAAGAAGAAGAAGTGCCTTGGGCACAATCCCAAAACATCTGGAGTACCACTTGAATACCATCAGCATTGACAAAATCACCATCAGTCCATTGCAAAGACAGCTTTACTTAGAACAGCTTACATCCTGCGATGATACCTTTATCACCATCAGACAACATCTGCCTATCCCAGGACCTTGGGAAGGATTAGACAGGTGGATAAAAATGCCAAATCCAGTCCAAACATCTGGCTGACTATGCAACCAACAATAATAATAATGTCAACCTCAAGTGCATGGGAACTGTTCCCCCTCATGAAGATCATCATCAATCCCAAGAGAACATAGTTATTTGTATCAGATTGGAACTATGGCCACCTAGCAATACAGAATCATGGAATACGCTATTGTAGTTTTTGAGAAATGACCATTAGACTTTAGACTTGCTTGAGCCTGGCAGTGACTTAACCTAGTCTAACATTTTGTGTCACATAGAAGCCAATGTAATGCTTTCAGGAAATGGATAAGCGTAGATAGGAGGCTCTTTAGGAAGATCAGTGAAGAAGCAATGGAAGATTGACTAGTGACTATTATCCTGACAAAGTGGCATCATGGCGTGGTGGGGATGAGTAGATGAGCTTAGTGTCATTTTTGGTTTGTGTTTTGTTGTATGTTTTTAACTTTAATTATAGTATTGAGGTCTGGTAAGCTGCTCAGAGTTAACAGATTGAAGCCTCATAGAAACCTGTGTAATGAATGAATGAATGACAGCCTTTATCTATTATTGCTCCATAAAGCTGCTATTTAAGGCACACATTTTGTAATTTCAGAGGTAAAATTATGATTTTATAGTTTAGCATTATGAGTATAATACTGGGCTTTTTCAATAAACCATAATACATTTTTTTAATTTACTCCTAATGTTTTTAGGAAAAGTTCTCCCACAGATGAAGAATGCAAAGCAAATCTTCAAACAAAAAAATCAGATACTTCTATTTCTTAAGACAGGTACACGTTACTAAAGTTAATATTTTAATCACATTGATGTATCTCCATTCTTACCTTGCAAATAGAAAATTATGATAAATATTGGAATAAAATGATGATTCCTGTGCACTGGTATATCTGGTTCTTTTCTCTAAATACAAAGAATTCTCGTTTTTCATGGTAGTTATGTTCTGTAAAATTGCCGCAAATATTGAATTAGTGAATGCTGAAACCTCAGCTGGGAACCTGTGTGTCAGGCAATTTTGCCACTCCGCATGTCCATGAATAAGCATTGTAAGTATCAATTTTGTGGTTACAAATAAAGTTTTGCAAGTAAGCAAATTCACATATATGGAGTCTGTGAATAATGAGAATTGCCGGTAACATGACTGGTTGTCAGTTAAATTGACAACGGTATTTATTCTTAGGTTATCTTAGTATTGTGTGTTAAATTATAATTGTACTTAATTGATTACCTGATTTATTTTTTGTTATTGCTTCTCTGAATGCCACCTGTTTGGCAGGACACAGTATATATATCCCTTTCTGGCCTGCAGATCCAGTAACATTGGTGTAGAACTTGCAAACCAGCAGCAGTGCTTCTGCTGCTAGGGAAATTGATGGTGCTCTCCTGCAGATTATGGTTTTTTAATAGTTTTTATTGTTTTAATGATTTTGGTTATGTTTTTGGTTATTTTTTTTTTTTACTTACAAAAACAATACAAAAAAATAACCAAAAACACAACAACAAAAATGTGCTATCTCCAGATTAACTTTGTAAGCTGCCCAGGGTTAAAGAAGCAAGATGGACGGCAATATAAATTTAAGAAATAAAATAAAAATAAAATAAATATATTAAAATAAATATATTTAAACATGTCCATTTCCAAATTGATGCCAAATAATAGAAGAGGTGTGGCTGGTTTTTAAACACAAACTGCCCAGTATTGCAGTATCAGCCACTAAGTGTAGTTTGAAAAATATCAGAAAACAAAATCTCTCCAATGTTGCTGGCATCTTGATTGGAAGGGAATATATTAGAAATATGGTTCTGCTGCCCTTCCTGAACTGGGATGTGTGGCATCAATTCATTTGTCTACTCAGCCTCTTCCTTCCCTGCTTTCCATCCTGTGTTCTAACACGCTCTGAGAGGGAGCGAAAGACCCCTCTGGATTGGCTATTTTGTTTGTTAGATTCTCATTTAAGCAACAATAGAATTGAACCTAACATTTTGAAAAACACTACAGATTGCATCAAAGTATTTGTTAAACAAAAAGGGTTTCGGTCTTAGGCTGATTACTTAATATTAAGATCTCCGTTGTATTGTGACTTAGTGTTTTTTGTACACCTTGATAAAGGAAAAAAATCTTACGCTCATTAACGTTGGCATTCTAAATTGTAATTAACATTGATATAATCTTTTTTTATCTTCAACAGTCTAAGATACCTAAACATTAAGAGTGTTAGTCATCTTCAAACAATACTGTACAAATATCACTGTGTTGAAACAATATAATGTATTAAGATTCATAACATAAAAACAAACAAAAAACACGTATATATTTAAAAAAGCAACAATAAACAATAGAGAGCAACGCTCTTGCTTGACCTTAAGTATTCTCACAGACTTAAAACTCCACATATTCACTTTGGACATAAACAGCATCATGTTCACTATAAACATGCAGCCATTTTGATGTGCAAATGATGATGGTTCTTCAAAGAAGAATTGTTGCTATTTGCACCAATTCCCCTGTCCTTTTTCTCCATTTCAAAGAAGTTCCAAATCTTCATTTAGCTAGTGGTGCTGTTTCAGAAACATTAAAGGAATCCCACGTTCTGCATGTTTTCAAACAAGCTTTCTTTTTTTAGTAAATATTTCATGCTTTCACATCCCACTCGTTCTCTAAAGTTGGAATGTTTTAGCATCGCATTTTTGTTTAAAATCTCCTTTACTTAAAAAAGATATCAGAAACTTTTGAGGTATAGCTCACTTTAACATCAAAATGGCCAAAGACCATTTAATGAGTGAGCCTTTCTGTTTCAGAAATATGGAAGAGACCATTTTGTCAGAGTGTCTGTGCTATAAGACAGTCTCACCATTCTGTAAAAATCTGCCTTCATCCAGTAACATTATTTTTAAATAAAATTTGACACTTTATCATGGATGGTGGAACACAATACTACGTTTATGTTTTGGAAATTTTCTTTCAACAGCATTATTACCACTGCAAAGAACTTTTGGTCCCAGATTTTAAGACTGCCCCGTCATGAGTGTGGGGGGAGAAT